CTTCAATAAATTATTTTGTAATATGACTAATTGCCTGGTGTGGTTCTAATGCACAACAAAGCAAATATTTTATCATTTAAAACTTTATTTCAATATACGAGACATGTTCATTTTGTATTGAATGTTATTGGTAACACTTTAATATATGGGTGCACTAATATGCATTAATTCATGCTTCAACTAATGCACAGATAATCATGAGTTAATGTATAACTCATGAAGAACTAAACCATTAATTAATGATTACTGCATCAGCAACTAATAAAGAGTCTATATGATTAATAGATTAAGTAATACACGAATTTCTAATAATTCAACGTGCCATTGTGTATTAATTCCTTAAGAATATTTTATTAACTAATAGTGTAAATTAATGTGTTAATTACCACAATTAGTCAAAGCTATGCACTTCAAATTCTAGTTGTCTGCTTTAATTAATCATTAGCTAACGATTTGCAAAGGTATCATTATGTTTTGACTTTACTTGTTGGGGCACATCATTATTAACTAGTCATTTAGTAATTGTAGTAATTCACACATGAATTTGCAGTAACAATGAAGTAATTAATCATGTATTAATGCATATTAGTGTTCCTGTCATATTATCTGGAAGTTGAACTACAAGGCTTTGGCTCATTCTGGTAATTAACATATTAATTGACACCATTAGTTAAAAAAATAGTTATTATGTAATTAATCCACAATTACATATTTAATTAATAACAATTCATGTATGAACTAATACATTAACCTTACATACTCTTAATTAGTTCCTAATGTGGTAATCATTAATGAATAGCTTAAATAATCATTAGTAACACATTAATTCAGTATTATCTGTGCAGTAGTTAAGCATGAATTAATGCTTATTAGTGCACCTGTATTGTAAAGTGTTACCATGCTATTCATTCCATTTCTAGATTATATGAAAAATTATTATGATGTAAAGACAACCATGTGCATGAGTTCGTGTCTTAACGTGAGAGAGAGAAAAATCACAGGACGGGTTATTAACTTTTGGAGGTTGGCTCTATTTTTATCAAAATAAAAGACAGATTAGATGGATGAGGGCGAGGGTGATCCTCGCTCCGATGCAGGACAACAGGTCATCAAACTGGGCAATGAATGCTCGATCATCATAAAAAAAGATGGCCGACAACGAAATTAGATTCTGACGCACGTAAAAACAAAAGATTGAAGCGAAATTTACGCGCGTCAGAATCTAATTCCGTTGGCGGCAATCTTTTTTATGTTGATCGAGCATTCATCGAGAGAGTTTCACTCTTGACGCGCAAATTAACACAAAGTGGTCAAGCGTCAAATTTGACGCGCTATTCGCGTCCGGTGTGGACGCACAGTTAGAGACGCCGTTTCACTTGGATTTACATCACAATAAGGAAACTTCCGTTTCATGATGACTTTAAAGAGATCAATAGTTATAAATAGTAGATAGTTGAGAAGGGCACTGTACACCACATGGACAAAAGTATGTGGACAGCTGAGCCCCAAAAGGTGTCTGTTGAACACTTCATTTAGGTTAATTATAATGAGTTGGTCCTCCTTTTGCTGCTATTACAGCTTTTACTCCATAGAAGGCTTCCATTCGTTGTTGGAATATGGATGCAGGGATTTGCTCCCATTCAGACATGAACATCAGTGAGGATTACCAGAAATATCCAAACCCATTTATTAGGAATCACCCATCAAATAACTCTTTTGGAGTTAAAAACTACAGTCAGGATTTACTAGAGGCGCTGAGAGAAAAAAATAGGGGGGGAAAAAGGCGTAGACAGTCATTTTTGCAGTTGGCCATATTGCATATGCAGTTATAGGAGTTTCCCTTTCAAAAGCAAAAATATTTAACGGCTAAAAAAAAGACATGGCTGTGATTGTTGTGATCATCTTTTTGGAATTTCAGAAGAAGACTTTATCTGAAAATATCGTTTGCCAAGGTATTTTTAATTTGTGCTGCTCTGGGCTTTGCTGTTATGGAAATTAGTTGGCAGCTTTGTCTTTCATTTTCAGATTGCCAGGAGATCACCTGCAGAACTTTCCAACTCCCAATGGCGCTTTTAACATCATTTTCATTTTTGGGTGAACTAACCCTTTAATGGGATTGTGGTCTCATGTTGATTTGCCCTGATTAGTTAATCTGGCCCTTGGTGTATTTTAGGGGCTGTTTACACCTGGCCACTTCATGTGTTTTCTGTGATAGGATAGCTATCCGATCGCGAAAAGACCAGGTGTAAATGCCCCCCGAAACGCATTTGAGACAGATTTGAATCCGATCGCTCAAACAACATTGGGAGGTGGTCTGGGCCGCATTCCAGACGAAACTGGACAAGTGTAAATGCATCTCACATATGTAAATTTTACTACTCTTTTTTTACTAAATTTTACTACTCTAGTAAAATTTGACTAATTTTACTACTATTTTTAAAAAATAAACGTGTGAGAGCGTGTTATAGGCTATATGTCATGTTATTTTAGTCAGATATTGCGACGCTACTGCGACACACATCACCTCAGATAAGCAGCTGAGCATCTATCAAGCCAACGCACCACAATCTATCACAATTTCGCAAATCGAAGTGAAAGTAAGTCGCAGACGCTTAACACTACCATCATTAAAAGTAAAGAAACTAAATGATCTTACCAGGGCTGTTGCCGCTCTCTCTTATTGCTGTTTTTGCTGATTTTGAAATTAGCCAATGATCAATAAAATTCGGCTCATATCTGTTGCTTTCGGTGACGTGCACTTTATTAAATTTGTATATAGCGCGTGAATCGAAGATCGGATTTATATCCTTTCGCAAAAACACATTTATGTGACCAGGTGTACATGGTGTAAACAGCCCCTTAGCAATATTAAATAAGATGTACAGGAAAAGTGACATCACCTGTCCAAGCGTGCATTCCACGCCACCCAGGAAGTCGTCATCGCGCGTTCCAATACTGTGGGTTCCGTGGATGTCGTAAACTTCGAAGCGCAGTTTCTGTACTTCCTCAAAGTAGTAGTCCAGCATTAAGACTTTAGCAAAGACCGGATTCAGGTTACTCTTGATCACTTCAGTACGGTCCAGCTGAAAGACAGAACAACAGATCAGTCAACAGCTAAAAACTAGTCTCGCTGGGAGCATCTGGCTTCTCCACATTATCAAGAGTCAGATCACAGGCTGCGCCGTTTATTGGTCTGTTTGTGCGCTGTCCCTGGATGAAGTCAAAGAAGTGACGGCAGCGGGGATGAAGGCCGCATGAGTCTGATTGTTGAGAGCTTCCACACATGCAGCTGTGATGATCATGGCCTTGCTCTCGTACAAAACCCATTTGTTCTCGTTTCTCATTCATCAGCTGTCTCTCTCCTCACCTCCCCCTGCTTTGCTATTGTTCTCTGGTGCACGTCAAAAACAAACAGAGCAAATACAATCATTTCTGAATTAAAACCTTTACTGAGGCAATTAGCTGTAGGAGTTAATGCATCACTCTCCCAGACATTAAGGAAATGTTGAGTTTAGAGATGCAATTTGAAAATAAATGTATGTTTCCAATATACCAAAGCAAAGGCTGAACGAAGGTTCTACACAAATGGAAATTTGGGTTTCACTTTATTTCGATGGGCCCTTTAACACATTCTGTTGACTAGTAATATTGCACCTACATGTCTACTAACTCTCATTAGTGTTAGTAGAGCATTATAGACTGGTAGGGTTAGGGTTACATTAAAGGGATAGTTCACTTTGAAATTAATTTTTGATATGTTTTAGCTTACCTCAAGGGCACCTGTGGCTGTGGTAACAAGAGGTAAAAACGATATAAATACTGTTCGTTTTCTCACACAAACCGCTCGTTTCGTGTCTTAGGCCATTAATGTGTACTTACATTTACGAGTCATTAAATCATGTTTAATTTGGACTTCTCTGTGCATGCTCTTTGCGGTGGTGACCATAGACCTCCATTATATGACTGACAGACATGAACGGTTTGACCTAAAAAAATATCAAAATTGAAACTACTGCGGAAACAAAGACACCTACATCTTGGATGCCCTTGAGGTAAGCTAAAACATATCAAAAATTAATTTCAAAGTGAACTATCCCTTTAAGTTGACATGTGGTTGCAAATATACTTAGTCACTGTTGGGAAATCATCAAACTAAAGCGTTAACAGATATTAAGAAAACAGTCTACTAATACTCTACTGAGAGTTAGTTGACATTTAGTTGCAAAGTTACTTATAGTCAAGTTCAAATAAACATTTTTTTATGGTTTTACTAACCCATTTAGAACAAATGTATTCCAGCAAGAAAACTATTGCTCTGTTTGCAAAAAAAAGTGAAGCTATGGGATTTTGCCTCCTTCGAAAGCATCAAAGTAGTTTCTATTTTTGTTAGTAGCTTAGTTGACTATTTTTTTTTTTTTTTTTTTTAATGAAGATCAATTAATGAATCTGTGGGAAATTATACAGTTTTAAAGTAGCTCCCAAACACTGCCAGACTGACTGTCATTATCTGGTGTATTTTTATAAAGGTCATTTGTTACTGTCACACGAAATGTGGAAACTAACCCTTTAAAATCAGCATGTGAAGTAATCAATCACACTCCCAGTAAATCAGATTAACAGTGTCAAACCTCTAATGTGTCTGTGTAGCATATATCAAGCAGGGAATGACCCTCCTCCATCAGCCCATGTTTGACAGAGACTCAGCGGTTACATACAGATAAAATATTCAGCCCTTCAATCGACTATGCATGTGTCCTTGAACTTAGTCGTAAGCACTTTCACATAGCTCAAGTGGTAGTTAATTAAACTAAAGGAGCTGGTATGGAACGAACATTAAAAAAAACATTATGTCCAGGTCATAATTCATCCAAAATCAAAAGAAGGAAATAAGGATTCAGCATAAAGAAAAGGACCATTAATATATTATCCTTTATTATATTGTTTTCATGAGAATTTAGTGCATATTCCCCATCAAATACTATAATGAGATGCAAAATTAGTTTCACATACTGCCTTTTAACTTATGCTCATTTAAATAAATAATAATGTCACAATGCAAAAAGATATTTGAACAGTCTACACTAATTTCAATGTTTTTTTAATAGTTTCTTTATAGAAAATATAATTTTCCAATAGACCTGGATACACTGTAAAAAATAATCATGATTTTAACGGTAAAAGACTAATATACGGTACTATACTACTGTATAGTATACTGTACTATATACGGTAAATAACTGTGATATAATTTTACTCTAAAATACCGTTAAATTTACAGTTTTTGAAAGTAAAAAAGAACAACTCATTGTATAATTTACAGCAAAAAAATTGCACAATTCCCTGTGTGACACTTCACATTTTTTGTATTTTTGTTGAAATAACTATGGTTCCTTATAGTTTTCTTGTTTTTTTTCTTCTAATAAGTTATGTACATTAGGGTTTTATGTTATATTTAATGTTGTTAAATGAACGTTTATTGCATTTTTAAAATTTCATGTGTGTTACCATGATGGTGTTTAATGTTTGTGTGAATGACACTGTGCAGCTTCTTTATAGAAGTATTTTTGACTATTTTCGATGAGCTTTGATTGATCATGTGACTCATCACTGCTGCGTTTGTTAATGGTGTAATACAATGGTACAAAACAGATATATATTACAAAAGGTTGGTAAAGCATCATTTCATCAGAGAATAAAATACGGTTTATTACTGTACATTTTAAGTTAAGTCTGTAAAACCATTAACGCTCCTACCGTATTTTTAACGGTAAAGTTCTGGCAACCACAGCTGCTGTTTTTTTACCGTAAAAATAACGGTTTTATTTTTTTACAGTGTATGTTTTAGAGATGCATATGTAAATATATAATCTGTTTAGACTTAAAATAGATGACTTCCTCCTGGGAGGTCAAAAAAGTGCATTTCTGATTTTTAAGGAAGATCCTTATGGATGGATGTAGAGCATGACATTGAGAAATCATTATGTCCAATAACCTCTTGATTGGATTACTGCAATACTGTGGTTGCTGAATTGGTTCTGAATCCCTATATACTCTACAGCTAGTTCATATACTGCAACCAGAGTCTCTGCTATCGCTCCGAACACCCAACTGCCTCCCGCGGCTCCTCCAATCACAGGAAAGCAGACCTCTTATCAATACCAAGTACATCTGCTGCTGGAAAACCATTTTATTACAGAACTCCCTAGTTACGGAACGACCACCGACAACATGCAGAAATCAGACATTCCCTATACTGTCAACTCACATACACAGCCAAAACTGGATCACGTGGAGTCTGAAATTAAATTACGATATTGTTAACCTTCCAATTAACTTGTTTTCTCAAGTAGTGAGGCGAGACGAAAGGCTGTGTACCTTGGATTTCTCATTAGGGCTTTTATCACTTACCACTGTTTGCTCACTGTGAGTTTAGACTTATCGCCATGTTAAGATTGTTAAAGCTTTGAATAAACGAATAACTTCAGTTTAGTTCAGTGGAACGAGTCCAGTTAAGAATCCAAGATCTTATTGTCAACATGAAGAACATCACAGTGAGTTATACAGCTGTTAAATGAGCCGGTGTTTGTCTCTTTACCCCTTACGGTGGATGCTTTATGATGTCTGAGCAAGCAGTGACTGGAAAGGAAGTGATGTACAGCCCAAGAGTGTTGTAGAGAGATTACACAGCAGGTTCTTGAGGGTCTCAGTGCAACAGGATATTATGCTAAATTTACACATAGTATGCAACATTCACCTTGAGAGAGAGTAAGTGAAAGAGAGCGCAAAGAGAGATATGAGTAGGCTTAGCTCCCACTCAATTTTAGCTCTTGATTTGCATAACAATGGCACTTCCCATTGATAGGTGCTGCATGAGCAGATAGTGGAACACCTAATGGCTCAAGAGCACCAGAAAAGCACTCAGTACAACATAGAGGCAAACATCCACATGGTCAGGATCAGTTACGATAACCAATAGTTAAAATATAGCTGCATAGGAATATGCCAACACAGGCTCATTGGGAAAATGGCAATATTTCTTCATGATGAAATGTCTAGAGAGTGTTTGAGTGTTAACCAAAACTGATTAACGTGAATCTGGTCATTTTTTATTACTGTTGTCCCAAACAGCAACATAGTGTCGGCCCAGATCCGGGCCACTTCTGGTGCATGTGGATTTGGATCCTAGGTACACTGTAAAAAAATATTTTCAAGATTTGTTATCACAACATTTTTTCTTTTGTCAAATCAACTTAAATAATTTATTTAGTTCCGATAACATATAATTTTGAGTTTCTGATGATTAAATCATTCTCCTTCATTGCATTAACTCACTTTTTCCAGTTCAATCAACTTAAAATTTTAAGGCAACCCAAGTTAAACCAACAATATTTTTTTACAGTGTAGTAATCACAACATTTTTTCTTTTGTCAAATCAACTTAAATAATTTATTTAGTTCAGATAACATATAATTTTGAGTTTCTGATGATTAAATCAATCTCCTTCATTGCATTAACTCACTTTTTCTAGTTCAATGAACTTAAAATTTTAAGGCAACCAGGTTACTTACTTTTTTAAGTTAAACCAACAATATTTTTTTACAGTGCAGCTTTCTGGGGTAATATAATTGCAGTTCAAAAGTGATATGTCGATAGTGTTAAAAGCGTTTGCTAAAGCAACTATGCTGTTTTAGCTTTCTTCTACAAGTTTTCAAGCTCTTTCATCGTGACTCATGTTTCAGGACTCGTACGCAGGTGCTCCACATCACAAATGCAGTGCCGTAACACGTGGATTCCACATCTACCAGATGTGGCCCAGATCAGACACTATGTTGCTGTCTGGTAAACCGCATTAAAATCATTATTAAAGGGTCACTGTACCTCTAGAAAGATGAATATGTATTTAAAATGGGTAATATGTAGAAGAAATGTGAATTATTTTTGAATTTGGACTTTCTAGGCTGAGAAAAGACAGAAAATATATTTTGGGCTTATGTGGATGAAAGACAACAACTCCCAGAATGCACTTGCTTCGCTGCCCTAGGAGGCCACGCCTACCGGTAACAGAGCGCAGTCGTTAAACAAC